GCTTTAGTTTCTCTGCGTTAAGGGCAACAAATGCTATCTAGTTTTTTAGGTGTCTTACCTATCCTCACCCCTCCCTTGTGTGCTCTCGCTTTTATTTTTGGACTTGAACTTCCAAAACTGTGAGCTAAATAAATTTATTTTATAAGTTTACTTTATAAAATTAGTTGTGTAAGGTATTTTTCATAGTAATATGAAGCTGATTAATACTACATCATAGAATCTCCATCTTTGCTGTGGCTTCTTGTGCTATGTGATTTGAACTTGAGCCCCAGTATTTCTCTTTCCTCAAGAGGTTATCGCTTACCTCCCAACATGCCTGTGGCTAGAAACGCCTGAGTTAGGACATAAGTTGACTGGCTTCATTTACCAAAGCACATCTTTTATCTGTGACATTTAAAAATTGTTAACACCTTAATATATAAATGTAACATTTGGATGGAGAAGAGGCTTTTATTCCTGTTTCTTTACAAATAATGAAGGCAGGAAGGTGAAAAGGTAGAAAAACCTTCTGTAGTCTTAAATACTATGGCCAAAATTGTGATAGGTCTTTCTCCTCTTGAATAAATTTCTTCATGCTTCTTCATTTCAGACCTTTTTGCACATGCATTAAAATAAACAACAAAAAGAATATGCTATGGGACCAATTCCATTTGGTGTTTTTGTGTGTGTGAATTTACTAAACAAAAGTATTGCTAGTAAAAAACAAAACAAAACAGGTATTGAACCTTTGGCCTAAAACATGCAAAAACTTTCATTCATATTTTCAAAGGAACATCTAATAAAACCATACCTCACATGTCTATAAAGAGAACACTCACGGTTGGTGGACAGAGAACACAGAGGCAAAAAGTCTGAGAGAAGAATGTGAAGTGTGGTTCTCCTTAGAGTTCCTTTGTCTGTTGACTACTGGTAGTAAAAATTCACATGATTATCAGGGTTGTCTGTTTACAACTTCCTGGGACCTGTTTATATTATGTCCTATGCACTCTCTAGGGATTTGCCACAGGGGGTGCTATCCTCAAGCAAATAATGGAAATGGGATCACCACTCACTCCCCATAATATTCCCTAAAAGAACAGGTGGTGAGGAGATATGTATAATGGTAGAATCCCCCAATTCCCAAGCACTGTGTCTATTTACAGAAACTTCCAGGAAGAAGTGGCTATCTTCATGCTTTCTTAGTTACCACAGTTGAGTGTGCCCAGCATTCTTCCTCAAGAACTGCAGCCCTGGACTCCAATATCTGAGGCTGACTGAAACAAATGTTATGCCCATTTGTTCTCAGGTTTAGGGGACTGAACAGTAGGATTTGAATTCTCTTTGAAGTTGAATGATACATTTCCACCTAGTAATATTCGGTGCACTCAGCATATGATATTTTAACTTGGAGTAAGAATTCCACCACCTATCTCCCTTGTGCGCCCCATTTTCTCCGCAGAGATAAGCAGGATGTTGAGTCAGAATATGTAGTGCAGATGAGCCTGTCGGTGAGGACTGATACACTTGAGCTATGGCTTTCTCCATAACCACACATGTCAAGGGGATCAGGGATTTATGCTCTGGAAAACATAAGATGTGCATCTGCAAGGAGCTCATAACAGGACTCTGTCTAAGGAGATATGTTACAGGTAAAGTCTGATGGGAAAATATCTACCAGCCTTGTAAATTTTATCCAGTGCAGCTTAATTCATTCTGTAGCCAGAATGAAATAGGCAGAGGACTATACAGTACAAAGTAGAACATTGACCAGCTGTTCAAACACTATACTTCAATATGAGTATGTGTTATATAGGCCTGAGATTTTAAAGTGAAATAAAAGCTTTGTGAATAACAAATTAATTCTATTACATTCAATGGCCTAAGTTTTCCTTCTGGGTTCCCACAGAAATTTTGCTGAACAGCCATAATTTTAATTTGCTTTATTTTGTTTGTCTTGCTCCCAAAGAAATGTTTTAGCTCTATCCTTGGGAAGAAGGACTAAGAAAATGGAGGAAAAAGTCCCAGAGCTTTGCTTGTTTATTAGAACTGTTTATTGTCCCCCAAGGAAATAGTGCCCTACCATGCAACACAGGAATTTACCCAAAATTACCTATCTGAGCTCTCACCAATGCATAGCTGCTCAAGTTCAGGAAAGAGCAAGAGACTCAGAATGGGACCTGGATTTGACATAAGGCTTGGAAGCACTGAGCCCATGATGCACACTTAGAAGAGAGAAGACATGGCTATTCATCATGACTGGTATTAAAACTTTCTTGAAATCAACAGTTTCTGACAATCGTGT